GACAATTCTGCTCTAAAAGAAACTGTAGTGTTTAGATGTAAATGAAGGTCAGGAACCAGAACGCTTTCTGGTTCCTGATTTTCTGAGCAGATTCTTCTTTTTTTTTTTACATTTGTTTTTATTTAAGTTCAATTTGCTAACATAACACCCAGTGCTTATCCCATCAAGTGTCCTCCAGTGCCCATCACCCAGTTACCCCAACCCTCCACCCACCTTCCCTTCCACAACCCTTTGTTTCCCAGAGTCAGGAGTCTCTCATGGTTTGTCTCCTTTTCTACTTTCTCCCACTCAGTTCCTCTCCTTTCCCTTATAGTCCCTTTCACTATTTCTTATATTCCATGTATGAGTGAAACCATATGATGATTGTCTTTCTCACACTGACTTACTTCATTCAGCATAATACCCTTCAGTTCCATCCACATCAAAGCAAATGGTGGGTATTCATCCTTTCTAATGGCTGAGTAGTATTTCATTGTATATATAGACCATATCTTCCTTATCTGTTCATCTGTCGAAGGACATCAAGGCTCCTTCCACAATTTGGCTATTGTGGACATTGCTGCTGTGAACATTGGAGTGCAGGTGTCTTGGTTTTTCACTGCATCGGTCTCTTTGGGGTAAATCCCCAGCAGTGCAATTGCTGGGTCGTAGGGCAGGTCTATTTTTAACTCTTTGAGTTTTCCAGAGTAGCTGTACCAGTTCACATTCCCACCAACAGTGCAAGAGGGTTCCCCTTTCTCCACATCCTCTCCAACACTTGTTTCCTGTCTTGTTAATTTTCCCCATTCTCACTGGGGTGAGGTGGTATCTCATTGTGGTTTTGATTTGTATTTCCCTGATGGCCAGTGATGTGGAACATTTTCTCATGTGCTTGTTGGCCATGTGTATATCTTCTTTGGTAAACTTTCTGTTCATGTCTTCTGCCCATTTCATGATTGGATTGTTTGTTTCTTGGGTGCTGAGTTTAGTAAGTTCTTTATATATCTTGGATACTAGCCCTTTATCTGATATGTCATTTGCAAATATCTTCTTCCATTCTGTAGGTTGTCTTTTAGTTTTGTTGACAGTTTGTTTTGCTGTGCAGAAGCTTTTTTTTTTAAGGTTTATTTATTTATTCATAAGTGACACAGAGAGAGAGGCAGACACAGGCAGAGGGAAAAGCAGACTCCTCGCAGGGCACCTGATGCGGGACTCGATCCCGGATACTGGGATCATGCCCTGACCCGAAGGCAGAAGCCCAACCGCTGAGCCACCCAGGCGTCCCTCTATTTTTTTTTTTTCTATTGGAGTTCAATTTGCCAACATATAGCATAACACCCAGTGCTCATCCCATCAAGTGCCCCCCATCAGTGCCCGTCACCCAAGTGCAGAAGCTTTTTATCTTAAGTCCCAATAGTTCATTTTTTCTTTGGTTTCCCTTGCCTTCATAGATGTATCCTGCAAGAAGTTGCTGTGGCCAAGTTCAAAAAGGGTGTTGCCTGTGTTATCCTCTAGAATTTTGATGGATTCTTGTCTCACATTTAGATCTTTCATCCATTTTGAGTTTACCTTTGTGTATGGTGTAAGAGAATGGTCTAGTTTCATTCTTCTGCACGTGGCTGTCCAATTTTCCCAAAACTAATAGTATGAAATTTCACAGCACTTTCAGCAAATGACAGATCTTCTAAGCAGAACATCACCAATGAAACAAGGGCCTTAAATGATACACTAGACCAAATATATTTCACAGATATATACAGAACTTTCCATCCTAATACAACTGAATACACATTCTTTTCATGTGCACATGGAACTTTCTCCAGAACAGACTACATACTGGGTCACAAATTAGGTCTCAACCAATATCAAAAGATTGGGATCGTCCCCTGCATATTTTCAGACCACAATGCTTTGAAACTAGAACTCAATCATAAGGAGAAATTTGTAAAACATGGAAGCTAAAGAGCATCCTACTAAAAGATGAATGGGTCAACCAGAAAAATTAGAGAAGAATTAAAAAGATTCATGGAAACTAATGAAAATGAAGATACAACCATTCAAAATCTTTGGGATACAGCAAAAGTGGTCCTAAGAGGGAAATACATTGCAATACAAGCATCCCTCAAAATATTGGAAAAAACTCAAATATACAAGCTAACCTCACACCTAAAGGAATTGGAGAAAGAACAGCAAGTAAAACCTACACCAAGATGAAGAAGAGAGGAAATAAAGATTCTACCAAAACTCAATGAAATAGAGAACAGAAGAACTGTAGAACAGATTAACAAAACCGGAGTTGGTTCTTTGGAAGAATTAATAAGATCGAGAAACCCCTAGCCAGCCTTATTAAAAAGAGAAGACTCGGGATCCCTGGGTGGCGCAGCGGTTTAGCGCCTGCCTTTGGCCAGGGCGCAATCTTAGAGACCCAGGATCGAATCCCATGTCGGGCTCCCGGTGCATGGAGCCTGCTTCTCCCTCTGCCTGTGTCTCTGCCTCTCTCTCTCTCTCTCTTTCTCTCTATCTGTGTGACTATCATAAATAAAAAAAAATATATTTTAAAAAATAAAAATAAAAAGAGAAGACTCAAATGAATAAAACCACGAATGAAAAAGGAGATATCACAACCAATACCAAGGAAATACAAATGATTTTAAAAACATATTATGAGCAACTATATGCCAACAAATTAAGCAATCTAGAAGAAATGGATGCATTTCTGGAAAACCACAAATCATCAAAACTGGAACAGGAAGAAATAGAAAACTTGAACAGGCCAATAACCAGGGAGGAAATTGAAGCAGTCATCAAAAACCTCCCAAGACACAAAAGTCCAGGGCCAGATGGCTTCCCAGGGGAATTCTATCAACGTTTAAAGAAGAAATAATACCTATTGTACTAAAGTTGTTTCGAGGGATAGAAAGGGAGGGAATACTTCCAAACTCGTTTTATGAGGCCAGCATTACCTTGATTCCAAAACCAGACAAAGACCCCACCAAAAAGAATTATAGACCAATATCCCTTATAAACATGGATGCAAAAATTCTCACCAAGATACTAGCCAATAAGATCTAACAGTACATTAAGAGGATTATTTACCATCACCAAGTGGGATTTATCCCCAGGATGCAAGGGTGGGTCAACACTTGTAAAACAACAGGATAGATCACATCAACAGGAGAAAAAACAAGAACCATATGATCCTCTCAGTAGATGCAGAGAAAGCATTTGACAAAATACAGCATCCATTCCTGATTAAAACTCTTCAAAGTGTAGGGATAGAGGGAATATTCCTCAATGTCTTGAAAACAATTTATGAAAAGCCCACAGCGAATATCATTCTCAATGGGGAAGCACTGGGAGCCTTTCCTCTAAGATCAGGAACACGACAGGGATGTCCACTCTCACCACCGTTATTCAACATAGTACTAGAAGTCCTAGCTTCAGCAATCAGACAACAAATAGAAATAAAAGGCATTCAAATTGGCAAAGAAGTCAAACTCTCCCTCTTCGCAGATGACATGATACTGTACATAAAAAACCCAAAAGACTCCACCCCAAGACTGCTAGAACTCACATAGCAATTTGGCAGCGTGGCAGGATACAAAACCAATGCCCAGAAGTCAGTGGCATTTCTGTACACTAACAAGGAGACTGAAGAAAGAGAAATTAAGGAGTCAATCCCATTTACAATTCACCCAAAAGCATAAGATTCCTAAGAATAAACCTAACCAAAGAGGTAAAGGATCTATAACCCTGCAAACTACTGAGCAGATTATTCTGATGCAGTCAAGAGGTTAGTCTCCCTGGCAGGTCCCAGGCAATGCTGGTTGTTGTATAGTTTGCTGCCCTCTTGTGGTGGGGAAGTAGTAGAAAGATTCTCATTCTCTCCTGTTCTATCTTGCTGGTTGGAGAACCTGTGGGATGAAACAGAGAACCATACACGGTGTGGGTCTCCGCTTATGGAATTCCCAGGCTTGTGGAGGCGACTTGTCGTTGAACTGGAGTCCAAGGGCAACAATGGACACTTTGGGCTGTACGAGGGACGCGATGCTCTTACCCTTACGTAACTGGGCTGCCCCTCAAAGAGATCAGGTGGCCCCCAAGCCGAACCTCCAGAGCCTCCAGCAGTCTTCGGTGACTAGAGTTGCTTTCCTTCTGAATGGTGGAACTGATAAGCACAAAATGAGATGTTTTGGCTGGCCTTCCTCCTCTCCTCCTCCTGCCCCCTCTTATCCTCTCAGTGATGGCTATCTTCTTCAGTCTCTCCTTTTCCAACCTCTCATGTAATTCTGCTTTGCCTTCTTTTTGAGCTGACTTGTGTCCCCTCAGAATTCACATTCGGAAGCCTCAACCCGCAGTACTTCAGCACACAACTGTATTTGGAGACAGGGCCTTTGCAGAGGTAGTCAAGTGAAAATGAGCCCTCACCCAATCTGACTGGTTATCCCATCAGAAGAGGAAGGTTGGCTACAGAGGTGTATAGAGAAAAGACCACATGAGGACACAGCTAGAAGGAGGCCATCTGCAAGCTGACAAGAAGCCTCAGGAGACACTCAGCCTGCTGATACTGTGGTCCTGAGCTTCCAGCATCTGGAGCTGTGAGAACACAACTTTCTGTTCTTGTAGACCTGTCTGTGGCATTTTGTTGGCAGCCCTAAAAAATGAATACAACCCTAACAAAATACTTATTTCTGCAGGGCAGTGGTTGCATTTTGAGCTTTTCTGTTCCTTTTTTTTTTTTTTAATTTAGAGAGAGGGAGGGGCACAAGGACAGGGGCAGGAGAAGGCCAGAGAATCTCAAGCAGACTCCTCACTGAGCACGGGGCCCAACTCAGGGCTTGATCTCACAACCCTGAGATTGTGACCAGAGTGGAAATTAAGTCTAAGGCCTAACAGACTGAGCCATCCAGGTGCCCCGGCATTCTGAGATTTTCAAGGACATAAACACACCCACTCCCTCCATGGCCCCACCAGCTTCCAGAGGATTCCTTCAGAGGATCCTTAAGATAAACACAGAGCAGTTTTCCTTTGATCTCATTTAATCTTCATGGTAATCCATTTTACACATGAAAACATTCCTAGAAGTTAACTTGCCCAGAGTCACCCAGGTAGTGGGGACAGTCAGAATTCAGACTTAGCTCTGCTTCCTCCTCCTCCGTAGCTCAGAGCAGCTGGCTGCAGGGGAAGGTTGTGGGCCAGGGTCTGGCAAACCTCAAAACACTGATCATTAGCCCTGCCGATCCTTGCAAACAGTGGTTCTGCTTTCTCCCTTAACCTGTTCGGAAGAAGCTCCATGCTTCTGAAAATCTCTCTGAGATACTCCAGGAGGCAGGACGTACAAACACAGTCCTGTACCACCCTCCTCTCAGGAATCTTTCATTAGTACACCTGTCTGAACTGGCAGAAACATCGGAGCTTGTGGACTTTCTGGTCTTTGTCAACAGTGACTCCTAACCACACTGTTATTCTTTCCAAATATGTTTTATTAGTGGCACATGGAATTTAACCTTAAGCAATTCCTTTCGAGAGAGAAGGTAAGACCTGACAGACTAAAAAATTGTCACAGCAGAAACAGCATTTCCAGTGTAAAGAGAGGTTATTAGGAAGTCTCCAAGGAAATGACTTTTTTTCGCCATGCAGACCATGTTGTACACATGCCCCAGGTAGTCAGCTGTGGGGGCCCAGGGCTCTGGACAGCGGGAGGATGGACCAGATCCCTACGCATGCACACGAGCCCTGCTACTCACAGAACCTGTGAGAACCAGGAGGGCCTGCAGCCGGCAGAGGCCAGTAGGAAGATGCCAGGCCAGCAGGCTCACATGGCAGCCCAAGAGAACCCCCAGACCTGTAGGAAGGCTGCAGAGCCTCCATTAGACCCTTCACCCTCAGACTGGGGGCTATGGTTACCAGAAGCTACTTTTAAAGCATCTGGAAACAAGTCTACAACACTGAATCTGAGATCTGAACTTTCTTAGAAAAATCAGTTTCTCCTCTCATGGGATCTTTTCCCAGACATTCTTCTGAATTAATACGACCTCTGCAACATTCTGCAGGTCACCTAGACTTGTCCCATTAGCTCTGAGGCTTCTGTGCTTTTAGATATGTCACTGGATCCTTTCCTTCCCACCTCACCCTTGGCTGGGTCCCATTAAGAGTCTGCAACCAAGAGAGCCCCTGGAGGTGGTGGTGTGGGTCCCTCTACCTTCTGAACCTGCCACTCTGTTCCCGCTGTGGGTCTCCTGATCCCAGATGGCACTCCTTGCACTGAAGTGGCTGCTGTTGTGTTCAGATCATGTAGTTTCTTCTTTCTAATCTAAGACGCTGGGGATGATTCATAAGAAACACTCAGGACTTGGTTATCTGCACTGGTCTTATTTTGACCTTACTAGGGGCATTTCTCTTGACACTTCCAGATCCGCCCCTCAACATACTCATTGATTAAGGCGACAAAACGAATGACAGACTGCAGAATTTTCCACTTCTAGATCTAATTGATTAAGTCAAGTCTCCACACCAGGAAACTGGACTTTCCTTCCAAGCTAGCATCTAGGATACAATTTTCAGGGCCCTAGGGCAGGTCAGTGACACTGGTCTCCTCAAGATCGATTCCGGAGTGCAGCTTGCCATCCTTGGCGGCCGCCCAGGGCATGGAGGCGGAGGTCCACCTCACCGCCCAGTCTCCTGCTTTGCTGACCAAGATGACACCACCTAAACCCTTCAGCTTTGACTTCATATAACCCAGTGACATGTCGGCTGCCTCTTCCAGGGTCTTTCCTGAAAACAAAGAAAGGTTGAGAAACAACACACATTATAATGAAAGGAATCTGATGTGAAAATCAGTTGCAGTATGAAAAATCAAAGTGAGTTAACAAAGATTTCAGGCAAATTATTTCTATTTCAATGCTTCAAAGAAGGGCCTCTTTCAAAAGCCCTCTTTGCACTGAGGTGGAGCCTAGCATCAGTCTAAGCTGAGCTGCCTTTCCTTCCACACCCAGGCTCAAAGTCTCTCTACTACCCCGGAGATGCTCAACACAAGCAGTATTCTAAGTGCACTTCTTTCCAGATCCTAACAGAAGGTGGGAAGAAGTCAAAGCAGCGTTAACGACTTGAAAGGAACATCTAAAGCAGATGAGAAAGGGTTTCATATACTTTACCACCTATTTATAATGAGCTTCCATTCACTTGTCTTCAGACAGTATGAACTTGTTCTATGTACCTTGTTCTACATGGAAGAGAGTGAGTCTGGCCAGATTCACCTTCAGGATGCTCTCCCCGTGCCCCGTTGTTGAAATGGCGCCAATGTCATTGTCAGCATAACCACCAGATCCTGCTCAAAAAAGGTGACTGGTTCTAACTGAGCAGCAACAGTGAAGAAATTCAAACACGTATCAAGCCTGTTACATAAATGTGCCAAAGTGTGAACAAAGGCCAGTAGCTGTGACCTTGAGATGCAAAGGTGGACTAGAAAGGCCAGGTGATAACCTGAAATCGGGGAGGGCAGGCAGGCCTGAGTTCTCACGGAGGAGCAGCTCCTTCACCGCCCCTGCCCCCTCTCCCCCCAGCCCATACAGCCACTTCCAGCCCCACCACTGACCCACGCCAGGGAACTAGTGGACATACTTCAATGTCAACGCAAACTTTTCCCTCTGTAGCAGCACTGCAGCAGCACTGTGTCGCTTTTATGCCACTCAAATGTGTAGCTCCCAACCTAAATTCTCAGCTTTTCCTCAGTTTGTTAATTTGAGCCCATTACTGGGAAGAGGCTTTGTGTACGTAACCCTTTGGGACTAAGTCTGCAGATCTTGAAGCTAGAGAGAAGAAAGAGGCCCTCGGGGGTTTGCTGGGAGCCACCTGAGCATCCCCAAATGATCCCCAGAGCCACCAGCCTCAAAAAAGCATTGTACCTACTATATATAAATAGGTGCACCCTCCCCAAGCCCTTCAGCGGGCTTGCTCTCGGAAGTGCTGGAGCGGCTGGAAGAGGCAGGGAGTGAAGAGAAGGTGATATAGGAGGATGACAGCGGAAGGGGTGGGGCAGCAGCCCCACCTACAATGGAGCCTACCATGGAGCCTACCTATGCATGGGGTGTCCCCAACACGGCCAACCATTTTATTAACGATGCCACCTGTCGAGGTTGCATAGGCCACGTTTCCTTTGCGGTCCAAGGCAACAGCACCCACAGTTCCCAGGTTTCTGCCAAGAATAAAAAGAAAAGTGACAGACTGCGACGAGAGACACTGTCACAAGTAACATTGAGCTGAACAGCAGTTAAATTCCCACTTTAGGCTAATGGCAAATGGGACACACTTTAATTCCAATATTCACGCCTCATGTTCACTTTTTAGTCTGCAGGTTAGACAGATTGCTAGACATTCCTTTAGACCTCAGCTTTAGGAGCACATACCACCCCAGCACCATCGTCCTCTAGCCATGTGACTTTACTAAATTTTTTTCTGTGTCTCATTTCCCCTACCTGTAAAATGGGGATAATTGCATGCATCTCAAACACTGTGTACATAAACATCCCTTGGATCCCTGGCCCCACCCCAGAGGTCCTAAGTTGGTGGGTACAGAGTGGGATCCAGGACACTGCACTTATCAAAACCTCCCAGGTGACATGGATGCTGCCTGTCAAACCCCACTTTGCCTATTTCACGGGGCTTGCTGTAAAGATGAAATAAGTTGTTGTTTCCTCTATTATTTTCAAGTAAAAAAAAAAACCTGGAAGAAATTGTACAGTAACAGCTCCCAGGAACTATGTTTGAGGCACATAGTAAGTTCTGTGCACAGCAGTGAAATGAACAAAGTCCCTCCTTATCTTGTGCAGCATGCATGTGGGGTCAGAGGGCAACAGAGTGATAATTTGTTTTATGGAATGATAGTAAAAACTATGATGACTCCAGTAGCATGGAGAAGGCCTTTATGTAGGGCCTCTCTGAAGGATAGGAGGGCAACCCACACTGACTGCTGGGGAGAATGCTCTGAAGCTGGAACATGGTTGCGAAGCTCAAGGAATTTGGAGGTAACTGTGGTTGGAGAGAATAAAGCAAAGAGGGTAGGGGGGTCAGGGGATGGCCAGCAGCCAGACCAAGAAAGTTCTGATGGGTGGTGACCATACACCCCGGTTACCGAGGACAGTCCAGATTAATCCTCATGTAATAGTTCCCCCTTTCAGTCTCAAAATCAAGTTCTGATTTGGAGGCTAAATCCTATGGTCCTCCTACATACAGGCCATTGTCAGGGCTTTTATTCTGAGTGAGATGGGAAGACACTGGAGAACTTGAACCAAGATGTGTCACAATATGAGTTAATTTTTAAAAATATCATTCTTACCATGCCCATCCACCAGAATGGCTAAAATGAAGGCAACTCAGTATTGAATATGGGCCAGCATATGCAGGACTGGAATGCTGAGTTACTACTCTGGAAATGTAAACTGGGGCAACCCCTTTGGAAAACCATTTGGCAAAATCTACCAAAGATGACTTGGCAATCACACTCCTACATCCTTCCAACAGAAATGTGGAGCTGTGCTCACCAAAAATGTATACCAAAACCTTCAGAGCAGGACTGTTTGTAGTAACAGAAAACTGAAAATGACATTAATGTCCACCAAATGCAGAGTAAATGGACTGATATAGTCACAGAACAGAATACTAAACTGCCTTGAGAATGAACTACTGTGATACACAACACATGAATGAATCTCAGAAATACAATGATGAAAGAAAGCATCAAATAAAGCACATACTATATGGTTCCACTTAAATGAAGTTTGAAAACTGGCAGTAGGGATGCCTGGGTGGCTCAGTGGTTGAGCGTCTGCCTGTGGGTCAGGTCGTAATCCCAGAGTTCTGGGATCAAGTCCCACATCAGGCTCCCTGTGAGGAGCCTGCTTCTCTGCCTCTGTGTCTCTCATGAATAAATAAAATCTTAAAAAAAAAAGAAATAAAAATGGCAGTAGTAGTCTACAGTGTTAGATGTCAGGTGAGTGGTTGCCTTTGGGAGTGAGGAATGGAAGGGAGCATTATGGAGAACATGGAGTGATGTTCTCTTTCCCAACCTGGGGGTTGATTATATGGGTCCACTCTGAAAACTCATCATGGAGTATGTAAGGCTTATGCACTTCCGTGTATATGCCACACGTGTACAAAAAGTTTCTCTTAAAATAATTATTCTGGTAAATGTGTGTTGACAAGAGAGGAACTAGAGACTGGTCAGGCAGCTCAAAGACTCGCTGGCTTCTGTGAGAGTGCTCCTGTGACGTGAGGAAGTGGGCTAGGCTCAGGATATTGAGGGCAGAGTGGACAGACTTTGTGGGGGAACTGGGTGAGGGAGAGATCACGGGCAGCTCTAAGGCTCTGGCTTTAAGAACTGAATGGGTTAAGAACTGAACCATTCATTGAAATGCAGACTATTAGGAATGGGTTTTTTTTTTTTTTTTTGGTGTTTTTTGGTTTTGTTGGTATGTGTGGAGTGAGGTTAGATGGGGAAATCTGGGGTTCAGTTTTGGACACAAGCTTGAGGTACCTGTTGGGCAATCACATGGAGAGAGCCACTTGCAGCTAGATACAGACTGGCATACAAGTGGCTAGAAAGAGAAATTTGGCATTCTGTTTGGAAGAAAACAGGAACCCCATCTTCCAGCATTCACAAAAATCAACTCCAGAGAGCAAAAGACCTGGATATCAACATAAAACAAAATTCTTCAGGAAAATCTACGTGACTATAGATGTCTCAGGATTGGGAGTACCTTCTACATTTCTGGTCCTATGAACTATACAAGGCAGGTGGACTGCATATTTGATTATAAGAAAGTAAAAACTTGTGTTTGGAAAAGATACCATAAGCAATGTAAAAGCAACATTAAAAACAACAGATTTGGAGGTTTTTTTTTTTTCCAACAGAGAAGACAGCCTTAAGACTGGGAAGAAGGGATATGACAATGAAAGAGAAAAAATGATCACAGTACCAAAACAGGCACATTCACAGAAACATGGCCCACCAACAAATGCCAAATGCTCAAACTTGTTGATAGGGAACACATAAAGGGAGTGTTACCCTCATGTCAGATGAGGGGAGGCACTCCCAGACTCCGGAGGCAGGCCCACCCCTAACATTTGTAAGGTATGGAGGCAAGGCTACAAATACAAATATGGCCTATCTACCATCTGTTTACTTTTTAGAAGCTGTAGATACACTCTTTTCTCTTAGAGTGATGAATATATCTTTAAAAATATTGTAAAGCCATGGTTTTTACATGACTTAACTACCAATAATGACTAAACTACCGAAGTACAATAATGACTTATAATTACCATTGTGCCCATCTGGGTCCTTTGTGGATCAGCTATTGATGGTGGGATGAGTGGGAAACACACATACATAAACACACACACACACATTATTAAGTGTTTACTCTACAAGGTTGATTTTCCTGCTTTCATTTTAGGAAGCAGTATGCTCTTACAATCGTATATCCATACAACATGTATTCTATTGACAAACTGCCACATAAGACAGATCTTTTTGAGTCCATGTAATTCTTAGCAGGTTTTTAATTAATTTTAATTTGTAGAAGCTTCCCTCTACTAAGGCAGTTAGTAACTGGAATGTTCAACAAAAGTCTTAGGGCAATCCTTAGATTTGGAAAGAACTCCTGATTTGAACATGACCACACTCAAACGCTACTGGGCATTGCTTGATAAATTTTTGTAACAGAAGACACTATTACATACTTTAATTTGATCATACATGTCATGATCACTCCCTGTAGTCATTTATATCATCTCTTCAGCAGCATCTAGGATCCACACAGAGTATCTTCAGCTCTTTATGTTTCACTGCCGTGTATTATGAAGAAAACTGAAAGTAGCAGTTGTGTTGATTTTGTACAAGTTTCTCTTCAAATGGTGCTGTGCTCTGATATAGAATAGAAAAACAGCTTCTATGGGAGCTGGTTTAGGGATTATTTGTACACGAATCTTCTCCTTCAAGTTAGGTAAGAATATTTGTTGCCTTCTTTCAGTTTCCTTTTATTTTACTGGAATTTTTTTTTTTTTTTTTTTTTTAAGAGAGTGAGTTAGCAAGAGAGCACAAGTGGTGGGGGGAGTGACAGAGGGAGAGAGAATCCCAAGCAGGCTTCATGTCCAGTGCAGAATCCCACATGGGGCTCAATGCTATGGCTCTGAATTATGACCTGAGATGAAATCAGGAGTCCAACACTTAACAGACTGAGCCACCCAGGTGCCACTGGAATGTTATTCTTGCATATTCACATGCAGTATGATTTTGTTTCTCTAAACTTAATATGTTTGATTTTTTAAAGCTTTTATTAAGCTTATTAATAGAAATTAACAGTTCATACTAAGTGATGGTAGGTAGCATTAATTCAAAATTAATTTCACTAAGTCCATGATTTACTCTTCAAGGATCTTCTGTGGTTTCACGGAATTCATGTAAATTCAATGTAATTACCCTAACAGCACTGAGTTGGGCATACCCATTATCTGCCTGAGATTTGGTCTAAGATCAGATAGGAATTTGAGCACGCTGTTCCACTTTGGGCCTATGTAGAGAATCTCGCATCAGACCCTCTACTGTCCCACAATGGTGGTGCTGCACAACAGGGGGGCACACCTCCTAGAAATAGATTTAAACTGTAACCCTATAGGTCACATGGAATACTTCCAGGCACTTAGCTAAACTTCATGTTTATATATTTTTTATTTACCAACCACGTTAGCTCCATTATCATAGGCTTGCCTTGGACAGTGTTTTATTTTTTTTTTCAAGTTTTATTCATTTTAGAGAAAGAGCATGAGTGCAAGTAGGGGAGGGGGAAAGCCAGGAGAGGGAGAGAGAATCTCAAGCAGACTCTGCACTGAGCATGGAGCCTGACGTGGTGCTCGATCTCATAGCCCTGAGATCATAACCTGAGCCGAGATTAAGAGTTGGTCACTCAACCAACTGAGCCACCAACGTGTCCTACTGCCTTTGACTATTTTTTAAATTGATGCCTAAGATGAAAAGTTTTCCCCACATCTTCTCTAAATCCAAAAAGCAGGTGTAAACATTCACTGAGTTAGACTTGTTTTTCTTCTTGGGGTAGTACAGTGATACATACAATAAATGTTAGTTGCTCGACATGTCTTATGATCATGGTACAATCTAGTAGAACGAATATTTTGTTAAAAACATTTTATGTATTTGATTTCATCTCCCCCTTATAACTCACTAAATTAATCTGCCTGAATTCTTTATCCTAGATAGTGATCATTAGTTTCATTATTTTTGTCATTACATATTTTATCGAATTTTGAAATAATTTTTATTAAGCCTAGAAATGTCCCACTGTGTTTTATAAAAACAGTGCTGATGATAGGAGTGCCATGAAAAGCATCATTAGGCTAAACACCAGACGTACTGTATTGTTCTTTCAAGAACATTACATCCCTGTTTCCTGTTGTCTTTTTCTTTTTCCGCTGTTATCAACTGCCTGTTCCCCCAATCCTACTGACTGAATGTGTCCTTTTGGTGTGTGATTCTTCTTGATGAATACTTTGATCTTCCCTTGGTAAAGGATGGGAAATTGCTGGGATTTCACTAGAATAGTCAAACTGAGGATGTGGCAAAAATGGAATTCTTACTAATTTTCACTTTTCTAACAGGTAAATAAATCTTCACTGGACCAAGAATTTGGAATGTTCCACTTGTGAACTTTAGGTGGATCATCCTGCGAAGAAGACTCCTTACTTTACTGTTGTTTTTTAAAATGCACGTGAACTTCGTCCTGGAAGATTATTTTCCTTCTTTTTTCCTCTCAGCTTTTTATTTCCTTTTGTGAGCTTCACTTTTATATTCTTTTTCTATCAAAATCTTGATTTAACATGAATTTTCAATAATCTAGGGATTAAAAAGTAAGATGTAATTGTCTTGGAAGTGTACAAAATTAGGATATATTTTCACCAAAAATGAAGACCAATTATAACTGAATAAATATAAATGAACTGCAGATATAACTTCAAAAAGTTAAGTTTTAACTAAACTTATAAATATACTGATAAATATATTAAAATATACCAAATTATCTATTAATATTAAAGTCAAACATGATTTACAATTAGTGAATATAACATTTTAAAATAAAATTACTTAAAAGTTAAAAATTTTAACATATTTTAACAAATAAAACCATTCATAATTCTAACATTCAGTGTCCATTTAGTTGCCAAATAAAGAGCTGTTCTTCATGCAGGTTCTGCCCAGACCAACACTGTACAATATGGCAAGTAACCTGCACCATTGTCCCCTGGAAGTGTGGGCAGCCTCCAGGAGGTGTGCTGCAAGGGTAGCCTTTGGGTCAGATGTTGAAGATTTAGTGTGAAAGAATGGAAAATATGTCAAATAATTTCTTTTTTTTTTTTTTTTAAGATTTTATTTATTTATTCATGAGAGACACAGAGAGAAAGAGAGGTAGAGACACAGGCAGAGGGAGAAGCAGACTCCACGCAGGAAGCCTGATGTGGGACTCGATCCCAGGACTCCAGGATCACGCCCTGGGCTGAAGTCAGGCGTTAAACCACTGAGAGCCACCCAGGGGTCCCTCAAATAATTTCTTATATTGATTACATGTTGAAATGATAATATTTTGGACATACTGGGTAAGATATTAATTTCACCTGTGTGTGTATTCAAACATATTTTAATTTCTTTAATTTTTAATGTTTAAAAAAGATTATTTCAGAGAGAGAGAGTACAAGTGGTGGTGGTGGGGACAGGAAGAGGGACAAGGAGGCCAATGCCAGACTCAATCCCAGGACCCTAATATTATGACCTAAGCCAATATTGAGAGTCAGGTGATTAACCCACTGAGCCACTCAGGAGCTTACCTATTTCTCTTTAATTTTTTAACGTTGCTACTAGAAAATTTTAAATTACATATGCAGCTCTTGTCTTTCTATTGGGCAGTGCTGGTCTAGACCTATGTATACAAACTTAAGGGTAATGGGCATCAGTCCTTATGTGCAAGTCTTGTAGATACTGTGCTTTCATCCATAGCATAGTACATGCAAGGAGGCAAGAAAATGGATACTTGGCACTACTGGGAAACAATTACTTTGTTACGTGAGAATTTATTTGACAAGTTATTAATTTGTCCTTTTCTCTTACCTAAGTCCTTCTGCTGTTCAATTCTTCCCCCCACTCTGAAGCAGTGTCCACTTCTGGTATCAGCAGTGGCAGAATCCACAAATCTTTAGATTTAGGTGCCTTTCACTTCCAAGACATAGAGCAAGAGATGCAGAGAAGCATTTCCCTGGGGGCTGAATGGTGTTAATCACAAGAGTGGATGATGAGGGTCATGGGTCATGCTATGCCACTGCTGAGTGACAGAGGTGCCCCAGGTGTCTGTAATAAGCCAACAGTTTTGTGTATTTGTGACTTGGGGGTCTTTTAAAGTATAGGACCCATCGCTTCTTGGCCTTTTGGCTAAGATCAAGTGTAAGTGTAGGACCCAGAGAGGAGCCCCCTCTTACTTATATCTAAGGGCAATTCTGGCTGGTAGAGATATGTGTTGTTGCAGAATTTCTGGAAAGGGATATGGCAACATCTATTAAAACACTCAAGAAGCATTGATAAAGCAGCCCCATTCCTGTGACTCTGGCCTACAGGTACAACAGCACACCTGGTAAGGTTATCTAAAGCTACCAATACAGGCAGCCCCGGGGGCTCAGCGGTTTAGCGCCGCCTACAGCCCAGGGCATGATCCTGGAGACCCAGGATCGAGTCCCACATCGGGCTCCCCGCATGGAGCCTGCTTCTCCCTCTGCCTTTGTCTCTGCCTCTCTCTCTCTCTCCTCTCTGTGTATTCTCATGAATAAATAAATAAATAAAATCTTTAAAAAACAATAAAGATTAAAAAAATAAAGCTACCAATACAAAGCCAATTTTGTAAAACAGATTCCTTTTTTTTTTAAATTTTTTATTTATTTATGATAGTCACACAGAGAGAGAGAGAGAGAGAGAGAGAGAGAGAGAGAGAGGCAGAGACGCAGGCAGAGTGAGAAGCAGGCTCCATGCACCGGGAGCCCGACGTGGGACTCGATCCTGGGTTTCCAGGATCACGCCCTGGGCCAAAGGCAGGCGCTAAACCGCTGCGCCACCCAGGGAATCCCTGTAAAACAGATTCTTAAGCTGGGGATACATCAGAATTATCTGGGAAACTTTTTCCTAATACACCTGCCACAGGACTCCTCACCTCAGATCTAGTAGATTCTTTACAGAAGGGACCAGATGTAGACTTTGAAAAAGCTCCCTAGGTGATATTCAAATATACCACTGGTTAAAAATTACAAATCTTAAAGAGTATGCAGAGTTAATATATTATTTTCTATTATAAACTCCTAGACCATTCTGCAATTTTATTTTTCAAATTCTGCTTTGAATATGGGGCTTTTATTTGGGATTTTGAAATCTGTAACACAGAAAACTGTAATTCAGAATACAGGATTAATTCAAACTTATACGAACTGTACTGATTTCTCTGCACTAGGACAGCATGTTCAAGTAACTTCAGAGCATACACTAGATCACAGACAACTTGTTTTATCTGCTTAAGAAAACAAACTGATCAAGAGGCATCTGGTATTTAATCCATTAACACAAGGCACTCGACTATTGGAGAAAGAATTCTTAGCTGAATTTGAGTTGTTAGTATAGGAGTAATAAATGAGGTTAAATATAAGAAACAAAAAAGCAGTTTTCCCATGAGGTATTATGAATTATTTTGTACAAAAACTGAAACTACCAAGTGATTCTGGACTTATTTGAGAAATGTAGATAATCAGATATTTGTCACACTTCCATGCCTAAATAAGTCCCCAAGCTATAAGTCAAGATGATACTTACTTTTGACAGTCTGAGTTCGGAGCACCTTTCTCATGCTTCTCTTTTTCTAGGCGTTTTATGTTTCTCTCTGTCACCAGCTGCTCTTTAGGAATCGTGGGAACCCCCATGGCTGCTGCAAATTTTGCTGCGCCTTGGTCAGTCAGAAAGCAATGTGTTGTCTTGAGCCGGAAAGAAACAGAAACATGGTTAGTTTTTGGAAATAGTTAAAATCTTTTTAACTGCTCCAACTGTGAGGACATAATTACTTCTTTCTAGGTGCAAAGCCTCAAAAATGCAAATTCCACTAGCTTGCTTTTCTGAGTGTTGAACAGGGCCTGGCATTCTGAGATCTTGTATTTTCAAAAAACCCCAAGGTGATAGAATATTACTAGAAAGGTATTTACGTGTGATCTTAAGTTTAGAAAAATAAATCATTTTTATTTTACACATGCTACTAAACACTTGGTCTGTTCAGTTTGTATGTGTTATGTCAGACATGTTGAGAGAAGACTGAAGAAAATACAGGAAGACAACATGAAAAAACAAAGTAGTCACTAGACCAGGCCTTACCAGTCAAATTCCACTGTTTACAGAATCAGAGTCTTGGCTTATCTGAGAAATTTAAATAGCAGTGCTTCTGTTCTTTTACATGATTTTAGGAGAACAGCACCCACAGTGTTTCCCTACAGTTAGACCGCTTTTAGTTGCTAAAGTGCAGTGGTTAAGTTAACAATTTCTTATGAAAAGGATGCTTTAGTCATATACCTTTTCCATAACAAGCCGTGCAAGTTTAATGGGATTTGCTATGCAACGGACTGCAGACACAGCTCCTGCAGACAGGTCTTTTCCATTCATGATACTAGCATCCATTTCAACATCACCATTTGCATTCAAGACAGATCCACAGCCTAAACCAAAGAGAAGTTGAAAAGCAAGAATTAAGAACTTAGAAATGGCTCCTAAGTTTCCTCTAAGCTGCCAACTTTAATTCATCCTCTGTTCCATTGCCAGAGAAACATGTTTGGAAACACAAATCTGGCTTGGCACCCCATGATCTACAAAAGAAAAAGTATGACACCCTTCCCAATCTGGCCTCCTGATCTCCCTTATGAGCTTTATCCCCATTCCGTGGCTCCACTATCCTGAAATACTAGTTTCCATGCAAGTACCATAAATTCTCATTGCTCTGTGCCCTTGTGAATGTTGCTCTGTGTAAAGCACAGCATCCTTTCTTTAACTTCTTTTGTCTAGATAATGCCTATAAGTCTAGCTATGCTCATCCTTTGTGCCTGTTCCCTCATCTGTAAAATGGGATAAGAACAAAGTTCAAGAATATTTAAAGGATTATAAAACTATCCTGTACCTATCAAGGTAAAATTCACAATGTTTGATATCAAATAAGAAATTTCCAGGCACACAAAGATACAAGAAAATATGACCCATAATAAGGAGGGGAAAAACTGTACTCAATAGTAACATATCAAAAGTGATATAAACGACAGAATTAGTAGACAAGAATGTTAATAAAACAGCTATTATAACTATATTCTACATGTACCAGAACATGGAGGAAAACATAAAAAGGACCCAAACAGAACTTTTAGAGATAAAGAAAAATGTTGAAGTCGAAAATACACTGGATGGGATTAAAACAAGGTTAGACACTACAGCAGAAAGGATTAATCAACACGAAGATATAGCAATAGAAACTATCCAAAATGAAAAATAAAAAAGGATTAAAAAAACTCCAAATTGGGCACCTGGGTGGCTCAGTCGGTTGAGCATCTGCCTTTGGCTCAGGTCATGATCCCAGGATCCTGGGATTGAGTTCTACATTTGGCTCCCTGCTCAGTGGGGAGTTTCTCCCTCTACCCCTCTTCTATGCTCATGCTCTCTCTTCCTCTCAAGTAAATAAATAAAATCTTAAAAAAAAAAAAACCAAAAACAAATTAACAGAGGATCATTGAGCTCAGGGACAATTTCAAGCAACCTAGTCTATATGCAATTGGAATCTCTAAAAGGAGATAGGAGACAGAGGGACAATCAAGGATAAAAGGATAAAAAGGATAGCTCAAGAAGAGTAAGACAGAATCATAAAAACACTCAATTATCCCAAAAGATGACAGAAAAAGAGGAAAAAAAGGAACAATGAATGGATTGGACAAATAGAAGACAAAAGGAAAGATGACAGATTTATACTCAACCATATCAGTAATCACATTAAATGTAAATGGTAAACACTCCAATAAAAAGCAGAGATGGTTAGATTGTATAAAAAGGAAGATACAACTACATGCTGCCTAAAAGAAATCCACTTTAAATAGAAAGATACAGGGATCCCTGGGTGGCGCAGCGGTTTGGCGCCTGCCTTTGGCCCAGGGCGCGATCCTGGAGACCCGGAATCGAATCCCACATCGGGCTCCCGGTGCATGGAGCCTGCTTCTCCCTCTGCCTGTGTCTCTGCCTCTCTCTCTCTCTCTGTGATTATCATAAATAAATAAATAAAAATTAAAAAAAAAAGAAAGATACAAATAGGTTAAAAGTAAAAGAATAGAAAAAGTTATAACATGCTGAAGTGAATTAAATGAAAGCTGGAGCAGCTATATTAATATCAGGTAAAGTAGACTTCAGAACAAGGAACATTAAATAATAATGACATTACATAATGATAAAGGAGTTGGTTCACACAGAAGACAGCAATCTATGTACCCAACAACAATTTATAAATATACAAAGCAAAACTGATATAAGTCAAAGGAGAAATAGAGAAATCCACAGGTACAATTAAAGACTTCAATACACTCAGGAATCAACAAGTAGAAAATCAAGGTATAGAAGATTTGAACAATATTATCAATTAACTTGACCTTATTGAGATTTATAGAACTTTCCATACAACAATAGCAGAGTACATATTCTTTTTAAATGCAACTAGGATATTTACCTACAGAGACCATATTCTGGGCCAAAACCCAAACTTTACAAAGTTCAAAAGAATGTAAATCACAGAGTATGTCCTTTGATTGTAACCGAATTAAAATAAAAATCAGAGATATTTGGCAAATCCACAAATATTTGGAAATTACTGCACTTCTAAATAGCCCATGGTTCAATGAGGAAGTCACAAGTGAAATTATAACATGTTTTGAACAGAATGAAAAGAAGACAACAACATGTTAAAAACTTGTAGGATGCAATCAAAGCAGGGCTTAGAGGAAAATTTAAAGCATTACACGCTTGTATTAGAGAAGACTGGTCTCAAATTAATGATCTAAAAAGAGGGCAGCCCAGGTAGCTCAGTGGTTTAGCACCACCTTTAGCCCAGGGTGTGATCCTGGAGACCTGGGATCGAGCCCCACATCGGGCTCCCTGCATGGAGCCTGCTTCTCCCTCTGCTTGTGTTTCTGCCTCTCTCTCTCTCTCTGTCTCCATGAATAAATAAATAAAATCTTAAAAAAAAAATCTAAAAAGAATAGTAAGTTATTCCCAAAGTTAAAGAAAGGAATAATAGAGATAAATCAATGAAATTTAAAAGAGAAAAACAGTAAAAGAAAAAACAATAAAAAAAAATCCATAAAACCCTTTTTTTTGGGTTTTTTTTTTTTTTTTCATAAAACCCTTCTAAAACCAAAAGCTACTATTCTTTGGAAAAAAAAAAAAAAACAAACTTGATAAACTATAATTAGGACTGACCAAGAAAAAAAAAGGCAGAAATTCAAATATCAATAATGAAAGACGAGACCTCTCTGCAGACTTTACAGACATTAAAAAATAATAAAGAATATATTTTGCAAATAACTTTTAAGCCAATAAATTCAAGATTTTCTTTTTTTTTAAAGATTTATTTTAGGGACACATGAGTGGCTCAGCTGGCTAAGTGGCTGTCTTTGGCTCAGGTCATGATCTCAGGGTCCTAAGATTGAGCCCCATGTCAGGCTCCCTGCTCAGTGGGGAGTCTGCTTCTTCCTCTCCCTCTGCTGTTCCCCCTGCTGTGTCCTCTCACTTGTGCTCTCTCTCAAATAAATAAATAAATAAAATCTTAAAAAAGTACATTTATTTTAGAGAGAGAGAGAGTACAGGGGGGAGGAGAGAGGGCGAGAGACACAAACAGGCTCTATGCTGAGCACAGAGCCCAAATCGGGGCTTGATCTCATGACCCTGAGATCAGACCTGAGCTAAAAACTCAGGTCTAACTCTAAAAGTTAGAATTGAACATTAAACTATACCACTCAGGTGCCCTTATAAATTCAGCATCTGGGATGCCTGGGTGGCTCAGCCATTAAGTGTCTGCCTTTGGCTCAGGGTGTGATCCTGGAGTCCCGGGATTGAGTCCCACATCAGGCTTGCTGCATGGAGCCTGTTTCTCCTCCCTCTGCCCATGTCTCTGCCTCTATTTCTGTGTCTCTAGTGAATAAATAAATAAATATATATTTTTTTAAAAAATAAAGTTCCTTACAAAAAAATAAATTCAGCATCTTTTCCTAAAAAGATTATTTGTTTGTTTGTTTGTTTGTTTGTTTACAGTCAGTAGGTCAGAAGCACAGGTAACAACCTGGATTTATAGTTGGCATTTGAAGTGGAGGGTAGTCTTGCGGAACTGGGCCCTTCACCTGTGGAATCTGATGCTACCTCCAGGTAAATGGTATCAGAAGTGAGCTAAATTGTAGGACATCCAGTTGGTGTAAGAGAAGTGCTTGGTGTGGAAAAACCTACATATGCACTGGAATTGGGTTCAGAATCTTCAGAGAAAACAACCCAGTGGAGCAAGGTTAAGTCTTTGCAACAAACAGTGCTGAAACAACCGGACCTCCATATGCAGAAAAAAATGAATCTAGACACAGACCATATACCCTTCACAAAAATTAACTCAAAATGGATCACAGACCTCAATGTAAAATGCAAAACTACAAAACTCCTCGAAGATAACATAGGAGAAAATCCAGATGACCTTGGGTTTGGGTTTTTAGATATCACACCAAAGGCATGATCCATGAAAGAAAAAGTTGTTAAGCTGGATATCTTTAAAATAATAAATTTCTGCCAATGATAGACACTGTCAAGAGAATGAGAAAACAAGACACAGACTGGAAAAAATGTATTCATAAAAGACACATTTAAAAAAAAAAAGACATCTGACAGAGGACTGTTACCTAGAACATACAAAGAACTCAAAAATAAGAAAACAATTTGATTAAAAATTGAGACAGGGGATCCCTGGGTGGCGCAGCGGTTTAGCGCCTGCCTTTGGCCCAGGGCGCGATCCTGGAGACACGGGATCGAATCCCATGTCGGGCTCCCGGTGCATGGAGCCTGCTTCTCCCTCTGCCTGTGTCTCTGCCTCTCTCTCTGTCTCTCTCTGTGTGACTATCATAAAAAAAAATAAAAAATAAATAAAAATAAAAATAAAAAAAATTGAGACAAAGAAAGAAAAAAAAAAACAACAAAAAAAAAAAAAAGAAAAAAAGAAAAAAGAAAAAAAGAGAGAGAAAAAGACCTGAACAGACATCTCACCAAAGACCTACAGAGGGCAAGTATGAAAGAATATCAGTTGTATTTTTATATTAGCAACAATTGTTGGTAATAGTAATCATAAAATGAAGCATTTACAGTGGCACCAAAGCATGAAATAACTAAGTATAAATCTAACAAAATATTTATAAGATATGCATGCTAAAAGCTATAAAATACTGGTGAAAAAAAATCAAAGATTTAAACAAATGGAAGTATATACTGTGGCTTGAAAGTATTGGATCGAAAGGCTCGGTATTGTTAAGATTTCAATTCGCCCAGAGTGATCTATAGAGTTAATACAGTCCTTTTTTTTTTTCTTAATAAAGATTTTATTAATTTATTCATGAGAGACACACACACACAGAGAAGCAGGCTTCATGCAGGGAGCCCGACGTGGGACTCAATCCTGGGTTTCCAGGATCACAACCCTGGGCTGAAGGCAGAGCTAAACCGCTGAGCCACCCGGGCTGCCCAAGTTATTAATACAGTCCTAATTGAAATCCTAGCAGGATTTTTTGGGTAGAAATTGACAAGGTATAAATAAATAAAATCTTAAAAAAAGGGGGGGGGCAGCCTGGGTGGCTCAGCGGTTTAGCTCTGCCTTCAGTCCAGGCAGGGCCTGACCCTGGAGACCTGGGATCAAGTCCCGCATCAGGCTCCCTGCATGGAGTCTGCTTCTCCCTCTGTCTGTGTCTCTGCCTCTCTCTCTCTCTCTGTCTCTCATGAATAAATTAATAAAATCTTAAAAAAAAAAAAAAAGAAATTGACAAGGTGATTCCCAAATTGGTGGTTAAGACAAAGGGGACTAGAATAGCCGAAACAAGTACATGCATTGTACACAAAGAGTTGCAAAACTCTATGTGATTTTAAGACTTAACACTACAGTAGCCAAGACAGTGTGGTATTGGTGAAAGGAATACACATATAGACCAATGGAAGAGTCCAGAAATACATACAAAGTCAACTGATTTTTGACAAAGGTGGGAGGGCGATTCCATGAAGAAAGAATTGCTTTTTCAACAACTGGTGTCAGAACAATTATGCAAAAACCTTGATATATACCTCACACCATATACAAAAGATTATTAAAAGTGGATCAGAGACCGAAATACAAAACCTGAAACTATAAAATTTCTAGAAAACACACAAGAGAAAATGTTTGTGACCCCGGATTAGACAGATATTTCTTTTTTTGTTTGTTTGTTTTATTTATTTATGATAGGCACACAGTGAGAGAGAGAGAGGCAGAGACACAGGCAGAGGGAGAAGCAGGCTCCATACACCGGGAGCCCGACGTGGGATTCGATCCCAGGTCTCCAGGATCGCGCCCTGGGCCAAAGGCAGGCGCCAAACCGCTGCGCCACCCAGGGATCCCCTCTTTTTTTTTTTTTTTTAAGGATTTTATTTATTTATTTATTTATTTATTTATTTATTTATTTGAGACAGAGCATGAGCAGAGGGAATAGAAGACTCCCTGCTGAGCAGAGAGCCCGCTGTGGGGCTCAATCCCAGGACTCTGGGATCATGACCTAAGCTAAAGGTAGCTAAAGGTAGACAATTAACTGACTGAGCCACCCAGGCGCCCCTAGGCAGATATTTAAGGCATGATACAAAAAGTTCAGTCCATTAAAAAATTAGATTCCTACAAAATTAAGAACTTCAGTTGTTTAAAACACACTGTGAAGAGAAAGACAAGCCACAGACGTAAAGAAAATATTTGCAAATCACATATCTGATAAAAGACCAGTATCTAAAATATGCAAAGAGTTCTTAACACTCAGTAATAATAATAAAAAATGCAATAAAGAAATTGACAAAATATTTGAAAAGATGTTAAAATAAACATCATCTGCCTTAGGGAAATGCAAATTAACACTACAATCGGATCCTACCACACACCTGTTAAAATGGCAAAAATGCAAAATACTGACAACACCAAGTGCTGGTGAAGATGTAGAGTACCTAGAACCTTCATATACTACTGGTGGGAATGGAAAGTGGGAGTCACTATGAAAAACAGTTTGGCAGTTTCACATAAAGTTAAACATACACTTGCCCTATGACCAGCAATCCCACACCTTGGTATTCACCCAAGAAAGAGAAAAACTTACGTTCACATAAAAACATGCATGCAATTGTTTTTATAGTGATTTGTAATGGCCCCAAATTGGCCATGTTTGTTTGGTTGGTAAATGACCACGACAGTACAGTCATACAACGGAAAGCTACTTAACAGCAAAAATGGAAGAGGCTACTAATACTTGTGTCAACATGGATGGCCCTCCATCACATTACGCTAAATGAAGAATCCAGACTCAAAAAGCTATAGATTATACGATTCTACTCTTTCCTCCCTTCAATGTGCTGCATAGCAGACACCTGGGACAGTAGAAGCAAGTCACTTAGAAGGTGCGGGCTCTGGTAGAGAGCAAAGATGGGAACTAGCCACTCCAGTTCTGAGTCCATACTCCCTGGTTCGTGCAGATGACTGATCTCAGTAGTTCAGAGAGGGTGGGAGACCAAAAGATCTGTTTCAAATCAAAGTCCTTGTGAAAAAGTGGGTGTTTGTCAGCCAGAGGGTCCCAACTGCTGTCAGCAGGTAACTGAGCAACTCTCCCACTGAAACAGCAGGCCACCCTCCCTGCTGGCAAGGGGGACCATCTAGTAAATTCTGGCTCAGACAACATAGCACCATAACGATGCACTTCTGCTTCATTCTATGGTCAGCTGACTTCTAAAATTTTGCAGAAGAAAGAGGGCGAAACAAATCCTAAGTATTTCATGACTAATTGGTTCAGATTTCCAGATACTCTCTTCCCTGACAGATGTTGGATGGGTGGTATCATCCCAAGAAATATTTTAATCCCTAGATTTTAGGTTCTCTATTTTAAAATAAACGAGCACAAGAACTACCTAACGCATAATGCAGATTAAATGAGTCAATCATGCAAGTTTCTCAGACCACTGCTTGATACATAGTAGATACTCATAGTAGTTATGATTACTCTAAAAAGGATCAATTGAGAGGAAGAAGATAAACACAAAAAAACTCGACACGATTCCATTTATATGGAATTCTAGAGAATACAAATTAATCTATAGCGACAGAAGAAGAGCAGTGGATACCTGGTACTGGAGATGAGGGTGCATTAAATGCAAAGAGGCCTGAAGGAACTTCTGGGAATGACGGAAATGCTTTAAATACTGTGGTGTGGTTACACAGGTGTATACACTTTTCAAAACTTAAAATGGGTGCACTTTATAGTATATAGTCTGCCCCCACACCTCTGCAAAAAGATGTAATAAAAAATCCTCTTGGTATGTGAATTCTAGGAAGCAAGCTAAAAAAGGTGAACCAACGGATTTAAAAAAAAAATTTTTTTTTTTAAGATTTTATTTATTTATTCATGAGAGACACACACACAGAGAGAGAGAGAGAGGCAGGGACACAGAAGGAGGGAGAAGCAGGCTCCATGCCGGGAGCCCGACGCGGGACTCGATCCCGAGACTCCAGGATCGCGCCCTGGGCCAAAGGCAGGTGCCAAACCGCTGAGCCACCCAGGGATCCCCCCGGATTTAAAAATTCTTAAAGCAACCTGGTCAACAGGTAAAAAGAAAAATCAAATCTTTTTAGGATATTAAATTTTACAAAAAAGCTTACTAGATTCATGGACATTCATTCATTCTATTTGTTTCAATTTTGATAAGTTTAACCTGATTTGGCATCAAATATTAATTGCACTGCACACATACCTGCGTTGAACTCAGGATGATCTTCCAGGATGGTCACAGCTCCTTCCACAGCGTCAACTGCGCTCCCTCCCTCTGTCAGGATTTTGTAACCTACTTGGGCTGCTTCCAAGATGCCCTGGCGCACGCGCTCTTTCCGGTCTTTAGAGATCTTGCTGGCTCCGCCACCGTGGACCACGACGACGGGATTCATGTCAGGATTCATGTCAGAATTCAAGGCGACGGATCTTAGGGATCAGGAAGATGAAAGTGTCACTTCCAACAGGCCCAAGAAAACTACCCTGGGCCAAACCGCCTGGGGGAGATTTCACCGGAGACTAGGTCCCCAGGAGGGAGGCAAGGGTTACAGCCTCAAGAAATTTCCTGACACGGAGGGGAGGAGAGTGGGAGGCAGACACAGATCCGTTTGAACTTTGCACAGATGCCCAGAGTGTCCCCTGGCCTTCCGCATTCCCCGTTTCCCGTCGTCCACCCTCACCTCTCGCACTTTGGGGCCTTGGGGCAAGGCCTCGCGACCCAGAGCCCAGAGCCCGCGCCGCCTCCGCACTGGGGAGGGGTGGGCACTGTGTCCAGGGCCGGACATGGAGCCCTCCGCCTTGGCTCTTTCTGGCCTTGGGTTTCCCCTGGGATGGTCCCTTTTCCAAGCCTGTAGGTCCGGGATCTCTGAAGGCAGGCACCACACTGACTAGGCATCCAGGATCCCTGGTATTGAATGGTCCGGGGTCTGGCCCATGTAGGGAGAGCAGACTATGCTTAGTAAACAGATAGTCCCGGGCACAGGTCGGGCCTCTGGGAGGGACACCAGGCTCCTGGGGTCCATTCAGCTCCAAAGCAGTTACTCTCTAAAGCCAGATCTCGCAGGATCTCAGATGCCTTCCTGGGGCTTTCAGAGTTTAGGAATGGGGCAAGCCCCAAGGAAAAGGGTACGGGGGACTGCGCGTACCCACAATTCCGACCTCATTATTATCGCAGTGGGAGTTAACGCTGGCCTCCGGATTATTCCGGCTGAGGTAAGACAGGCCCCATCCAACAGGCCTGGAGAGCTGCGGTCCGAGGGCAGGTGCTCCGGTGTGAACTGCGCAGGCACTTGCTAGCACACTGAGCATCCGGCCTCCCGGGATCCTCCAGTCCAGGCCCTTAGGGACAGACTGGGCCACAGACACGGACTTCTGGGGGTACCCTGCGCTGCTGAGGTCCATGTCCCCCTTCCAGCGCCCCCCAAAAGAGATGCGCCACCTCACTGGAATCCCTCGGCCCTGACGATCCCCAGCAGGGCCGCTCGTCAGGGAGCCGCTCCCTCTCCCCCACCTCGTCCCGGTCTCCTAACACCGGTCTCCGGCGGCTGCTCCGGCAGGGCCGTCCACTCACCGAGGACGCCGCAGGAGGCGGACGCCGGGGCTTCAGGCTGGGCCGAGCCGCCCCGCCGGCCTCCGAACCCGCGCGGCTCAGCCCGGAATCTCGGGGAAGCGGGTCCCGGGCTCACAACCGCTCAGCCGGCAACGGCTCCGCGCTTGCGCAGGGGGGCGGGGCCAGCGCGCCACTCACTCGCCGAGAAGCCCGGACGTCGGGCCGCCGCGCAGCTCCGCGGATCTCTGCCCGCGCTCCAGGGCCGGCTCGACCCTAGCGGGCGGGCTGCGGGCTCCGGGCTCCGGGCTCCGGGCTGCGGGCTCCGGGCTGCGGGCTCCGGGCTCCGGGCTCCGGGCTGCGGGCTCCGGGCTGCGGGCTCCGGGCTCCGGGCTCCGGGCCCCGGGACGCCGCTGGCCCTCCGCGCACCCGACCTTCCGGGTGGGAGGGGGAACCTCCTCTCCCTTCTTGGGGGGCTGGGGCGGGGCGTCGGCGGCGAAAGGCGTCAAGTGCTGGGCCAAGGTTTTGTCTTTGAAAATTAAAAAGCAGCGCTGCGCGCACGAGTACTGTTGCTCGCTCGAGATGTTTCTCAGTCTTGTTCATTATTCGTTTTAATTCACATTTCTTCCTTTTAATCGTCTCTCTCCTTAACCTTTTGTAAAAAACAGAAGGATAAAAACTCTAACTGGTCTAGTTCTGTGCCGGGGGTGCACCGGAGAGTCTTGAAATCTCCAGCGCACTCCCTCTGAGCTTCCAGGAGCCCAGCTCTAAATCCTTTAAACCACACGTGCCCTTAGTTTTTTGTTGTTGTTGACACATTTTCTCCAGCCTGCCCCAGAAAGTTCCCTTAAGGCTCTGACTCCATTCGCGTTGCCATAGCGCCCCTCCAGTAGTAAGAATTTGCATTTCTATCCAGTAAGGCAACTGGACGATACTAGATTAGTGGCATGAACCAAAGGATACATTATTCCAATATGCAAAGTAGCCTTTTGAATTAGAATTTTATTTTCATTAGTAATTTGCTTTAAACTTTTTATTGGTTGGATAAGCCAATGTCAAAGATAAATTTTTGGGGCACATGAGCATCTGCCTTTGGCTCAGGTCATGATCCTGGGGTCCTAGGACTGAGTCCTGCAAGGTGCTCCCTGCAAGGAGCCTGATTCTTCCTCTATCTATGTCTCTGCCTCTCTGTGCGTGAATAAATACAATCTTTAAAAAAATTTTTTTTTTCACTGTCCAGTAATAGCATCACACAACCTCCCCAATTTAGGTACTGACAATGTAGTTGCTGATTCTGATAGAATACCCAGTTAGTTAGACAGGAGCTGGAGACAAATGCAGTGATAAATAGATGACGCATTAGAAGCTTGACTGTGGCTTACAACACTCTCCTCTTCAACCTCTGCCTCAGGTAACCTATAGCTTCATTGTAATATATTTACACTGTGATTTCACCCCTCCCACTCTTCATCCCACCCTCCTGGGGAGTAGATGCCTTGACAATTCTGGCAAGAACCCTGTAAAGCCAAAAACTCCCCCCCCCCCAAACTGTAGGAGTCCCTTAGATAATTGGAAACCTCAGTGGGAGATCTCCCTAGCTAAGAGCCAGGACCTCTGCAAACATTAAAAGAAAAAAAAAAAAAAAAAAGACAACCCTGGTGCAATTGCCAACTCTGGGCCTACCTATTCTCCCTTCTAGAGTGCTTACGTGTATAGTGTGCTTAGTAAACTGTTGTGTGCTTGCTATTGTCCTTCTGTTTGTCTTTATTCCAGTGCCAATCCTCAAATAAATCTTTCCTAAGGAATCTAAGCATGGAGACCTCCAAGCACACAACACAGACTCTTTCACTGGTAGCAGTTCCTTCCTGAGAGACTGATTTTAAAGGGCAAAGGCCAGCCCTTATAGAAAAATTGAACCCTGAACCACAACTTCTCTAGCAACTGTTGTGCCCAAGATTACATATCCGAGAAACCACCGAGGAGCCGACACCATGCAAACGCACGAGGGCTTACTTACAAGCTCGAGCTTGGGTTCAAGTATAGTCCACACAGCAGAGCAGGGGCTTGGAGGCATTCTGAGCTCTCTTGTCTTTCTGATATGGGATTCCCTGCCGAGGACATTGAGGACATTCTGCAGTTTTTCCTGTAAAGTTCAGCTCTTATTCACAGGGGCCTGACATGGCTGTACTTGTGCTAATGCTAAACTTGAGGTGGAATGGCCTTAATTTTCTTGGCCTCCACAGCAACCAGTCCAGGAAACTAAGTTTTTTTGCACAGATTAAATGAGAAAATGTATGCAAAGCCCTTAGCATTAGCTTGGTGCATAGTAAATGCATAATACGGGGTTGCTGTTGTTACGCTATTATTATTATTAATATATTTATTATTCCCTCATCTCCACTTCCCCAGGGAAGAGCTCTCTCTCTTTCATCATTAGGAATTTTTTTTTAAGATTTTGTTTATTTATTCAAAAGAGACACAGAAAGGGAGGCTGAGACATAGGCAGAGGGAGAAGAAGCAGGCTCCATGCAAGAAGCCTGATGTGGGACTCGATGGCCAAGAAAATGGCCGAGAAAAATCAAGGCCATTCCACCTCAAGTTTAGCATTAGCACAAGTACAGCCATCTTAGGCCCCTGTGAATAAGAGCTGAACTTTACAGGAGAAACTGCAGAATGTCCTTGCCAGGGAATACCATGTCAGAAAGACAACAGAGCTCAGAATTGCCCTTGGCAGAGAATCCCATATCAGAAAGACAACAGAGCCCACAACCATGGTAGAAAGTCCCATATTAGAATGAGAACAGAGCCCAATGCCCTTGAAAGCCCCATATTAGAATGAGAATAGAACTTGAGAAATTCCTCCACCCCTTCTGAAAATCCCCTAGACCAGCCCATAAAAAAACCAGCTGTAACCCACTTCGGGGTCCAAGTGCCCCGCTCTGCTGTGTCGGGTATACTTGGATCCAAGCTCCAGTTTACAAATAAACCCTCGTGCGCTTGCATCCGTGCCGGCTCCTTGGTGGTTTCTCGGATTCGCAATCTTGGGCACAACAGATCCTGGGAATCTGGGATCATGCCCTGAGCCAAAGACAGACGCTCAACTGCTGAGCCACCCAGGGACCCCCCATTAGGAATTTCTTTTTTTTTTTTTAATGTTTATTTATTTATGATAGTCACACAGAGAGAGAGAGGCAGAGACATAGGCAGAGGGAGAAGCAGGCTCCATGCACCGGGAGCCCGACGTGGGATTTGATCCGGGGTCTCCAGGATCGCGCCCTGGGCCAAAGGCAGGCGCCAAACCGCTGCGCCACCCAGGGATCCCCCCATTAGGAATTTCTTAGTGAAAAAGTTTGAAAACCACTGTAGATGAATTGCATGCACAAGGCAGAGCAGCCTCTTTCAGAGCTGTGTCAAAAGGAAGTTGCTACTCTTGAAGATTAAGAATATAAGCTTTTCCTCTGGCACCTGGCTAGCTCAGTTGGTGGAGCATGCAGCTCTTAATCTCAGGGTTGAGTTCAAGGCCCATGTTAGGCATGGAGCCCACTGTAAAAAAAAATAAAAATAAAAGCTTTTCTTAAAATCTACAGCAGATTCAATCATCCCATAATGAAGTTACTCCCAAACACTCACATTCTGACTTTATGTTCCTCAGAAGAAGAGAGAGAAGTGAGTTTGTCACTAGCCTAAAGGAACCGCACACCCCTGGGGATAGGTGGATGGGCAGTCAACAGAAGCAAAAGCCTGAGGTAAAGGTTTGGCCTGATGCTCTGATTTCCAGAGCTGAAGAAGGCCAGCATCTGCTGTAAGGTCCCTTTTAATTCAGAGCATGCTGTAGCTAAGAAATGAGCTACCATCACTTATATTTGGAAGAGACTCAATGACAGAAAGGGAGAAAACTTCAGGTGTGCTCTGACTGGAAGTTATTGGTGTAAAGCTGAAGGCAGGCTGACCGAAAGTGGTTGTTCTATGTGATTGCTTAGGGGACATATTTGGCCTTCTCTGGTTGGTCTTAAGTTGGAAGTGATGACAAAAATTGGGGAAACTGGCATTTATAGACCAAGTGCTGACCATTTCCATCCCCTTTTTTTCTGGTTATAGGCCTTCAATCCATAGCCATAGACATGGACACAAAAACCCAACCTGGCCGATCATGGTATTCCATTTGTTTGGCAATCGTAATTGGCTCAAAAAGTGACTGTGTGATCCAAGTAGGGTCAACTATATAACTTCTCTGGAATTGATGTTGACATTAAAAGAAAGAAGTTTTGCCTATTGTAGTTGCTAATTAGAGAGACTGTCGATTTGGGGCTGTCGGTGGTCATCTTTTCCACTATGTGGAGAGTCTGTTTACAGAATGAAGCTGTGTAGTAAAGGATTAACCTTAGCCAAAGAAAGATCTGGACATTGTCGTTTGCTCCTGGAGGGTGATCTGTTAAAAAAAAAAAAAGATTTTTAAAAAGAATTTATTTTAAAAATAGTTTATTCATGAGGGACACAGAGAGATGCAGAGACATAGGCAGGGAGAGGCAGGCTCCCTGCGGGACTTGATGCAGGGATTCTGAGATCACGAACTGAGCCAAAGGCAGACGCTCAACCACTGAGCCACCGAGATGCCCCTGGAAGATGATCTTTAAACCACTGGCATATCCTATCTGATAAGAGTGTCTTTGTTTATCTGGGGAACTTGGGCCACAACAGGTGGTCTAACAATGTGATTATAAGAAGGAAATTTGGGGGAAAAAAGAAGGAAATTTGGATATAGAGAGGGAGAAAACCATGGGAAGGTGGAGGCAGAGATCAGAGTGATGCATCTACAAGCCAAGAAACTCAAGGATTGTCAGCAATTATCCAGAAGCTAGGAAGAGGCAAGGAAGGATCCTCCCTTAGAATCTTCAGAGAGAACCTGGCCCTACCCTACCAACACCTTGATTTTGGACTTCTAGCCTCAAGAACTGTGAAGGAATACATTTCTTTTGATTTAAGCTGGCAAGTTGGTGGCTTTTTGCTTCAGCAGCTGTAGTAATTAGTTGTAACTAATACAACTACCTAGCTCTCATCTGATTCTGCACTCTTGGGAAGCAGGTGGGCTTCTTGTCACCACAGACCTGGAAGATGTTACAGAAGCTTCTCATGATGCCTTTCCATGAGTCAGCCACATTGCAATGCTTTATTTCAGTCAGAAGCTCATCTCACCCGGCCTGAAGCTTTGAATCAGGAGACAATAAGCACCAGGCATTGTAGAGAGTACCACATTCTTTCCTCAGTGCTGCCTTTTCTTAGAGATTAGACCATGGAGAT